GATGCTCGAGCTTTTGCTATTGCATTAGGTAAGTGTTACTTTGGTTTTTGCCTCTGCTCTATATATGGAATTAGGTAACTTCTCTTATTTGAGGTTATGCCTCAAACTCAAATTCCTCTCATTTTCTTATTATCATGTTTATAGGAGAATACATTGGTGGTTCCAGTGATGAAGACAATGATGATATTACTAACATTGCTAGTTCCAGTGATGAACACAATGATGTGTATGACTAGTTGAGTTCTGCCTCCCTCTATGAAACTAAGTAGTGCAACTTCTGTTATCTGATGTAACGCCTTCAGAATGCTCTCATTTTCTATTTATCATGTTAAGGATCCATTTGGTGGATTGTGTTTGTGATATGTTTATCTGATTGACTTCTTTACATGCTTCTCTATTTAGACTGTCAAGTATGATGTTGTTGTGCATCTGCCACTGTGTGTAAGACAATTTTATAAGAAAATTTCATGTAAGACCAGCAACTGTAACTAACTCAGTGGTGTAGACTCCAATCTGTTCATATTGAGGTAGATAGAGATTTATTTGAAGCTTTCTTTACACCTCTAAGGGATGAACTTGAGTCTTGTTCCTAGATGATACAGATTCTCGCGCGCAGCCTAATAACCCTGAAGGCGGATTTTCACAAGAACAGTTATCAACATCAATGAGGTCACACTTCTTATCCCACATTTCTCCAATCCACGCTGCCAAATCTTCCTTTCATTCTCATCCATCTGGTGTCACGACACCAGACACATCCAAGATGGTCCAAAAATTATTAAAGAACTAAGACTTAAAGAATTCTCAATCTTGTTGTGGTTGCTTGTCTTCAGAATCTTTCTACAACTGCAAAGAGTGTGAGATCTAAGCTGTGCGATCCTGCCAAACATTGTCAGGAGCTTGGGATGATAATACACCTATGCTTACTTGCTTAAGAGGTGTAGACCAGGCCCAGACGCTAGAGGTTCTTGTCTATTGTGCGAGTTTCCAATCTCTCCCTCCGCGATATGTTACGGTCGCTTCATTGTTACTCGTTTGTTCACGAATGTTGCCTTGATATTCCCATAGAGATTCAACATCCTGTGCATTTAGCACACCCTCTCAGGCACTCCCAAAATTGTGGTCCTTCCTGGAATATGTTGAAATGGGTGTGGAAACACAATTGCTACTGTCCCGATTGGTTGGCTAGAATGCATATTTTATCTTCACCTGAGGTGTGGGGATTCCTCCTTGATGATGAACAAGTCTCATAAGCACAAGTTGTTTTACAAAGCTAAAATCGTTTTTGAATATCATACTTGTAATATATGCAAGAGAAAAGGTGTGATCTCTCTCGTGTCTTGAGATTCCTCGGTGTGTGTTAGAGAAGAAGTTTCACTTGTGTGCAAAATATTCGGAGCTGAGGATGATTCTTTAGAATATTCTGGCATTTGTGAGACAATGGTACAAGTAGGAAATGATGCTTATTATTGCAAAAAATGTGATTGGCCCCATTTTACGCAAGGTAATATAATATGTCACTACTAGCTACAGTTGTGTGTATGTAGAGTTTCTAGAAACAATCTGACGATTTTGATTCATATAGTTTAGTTTCTCATCGATTCGTCTTTTGTATATGTATGTTGAAGCAGAGCTTTTCGATTTCATATAGCTATCAAGTGCCTATCTTTAGGCTTACATATTAGTTTTCTTGGTTGCTTCCTTTTGTTGGTTCCTATCTCACTCAATTCTGATATATTGAATAGTCAGGTTAAGTTTAAAGCATTGTTTTGTGTCAAGTTTGGGTGCAAGTTGGTTAAGTTTTTAGTTGAACCTTTGTGTACTTGTAGGAGATGTTTAAATGAGCAAGAAGAGAGTGATGAACTTCCGAAGCTACCAGATGCTTTGCTTCTACTGGAGTCACCGTCACTCGCACAGCAATGACCATGCTTCCGTTGTTGCAGCTGCGATGGCCGAGAGTGCACTAAGGAAAAGAGACTTGAATGGGAATTCCGAGAATATTCCTGAAACTTTGGGTAATGTGCTTGTGCCTCCTCAGCTCAAGGGAAGGCTATGAGTCTCGTTATCAATCATTCAAAGTTATTTAGGATTAGTAAATTGTTGACTTTCCGTGAATCTTTGTGAGAACAAGTTCCAAAATTAGATGCAATGTCTTGTTTTAAACACTTGAGATTAAACGAGCAGGCTTTTTGTGAAAAAACGGCAACATCGATTAATTTTGTCAAATTTGAATGGTTCTAGTTCTTGTGGTGTCTTAGTCGTAAAATCAGCGTTAAATAATCTTGAAACCAATTCACTGAAAGCATTCGCCAATTCTACAAAATAGTATATGTACTATTGCAACGGTTGTCTACTGATGTTGCTGATTGTTATGCGGTCGAGGGCCTGCAGGTAAAGGTGGCTGCGGCTGCTGCACGATTTCAAAATAAGGAGAATATGTTAGTCTGACATATTCAGCTCTCAATTTTCAACATCTAATCGTACCATAGTTGATAAAACCTAGCCAGTAAGTTTTCAAAAAAGCTGCAAAATGTATATGTTGTTTAATCAAACAGCACTCGCCTATCTGAAACCGTAACACATACTAAATAGAACAGTAAAAGAGTGTATAGAGGGACCTGTTGGAAAGGGTTGTTGAACGCTGGCATCATTTGTGGACGGTTGAAACCACGTCCTTGGGGATACATTTGGGGTCCACCACTGCTTGGTGGTCCTTGAAATCCTCCCGAAGGAGCACCCATAAAATGACTTTGCGACATCTGAGGATTCATGCCCCCTTGCATTCCCTACACACCAACAAAAAGTGAATATTAACTATTTTCTTTCTACACACAAATAAGACAGGCGGCTTAAGTTGTGGTCAAATTACAAGGGACATACCATTGATCCAGGCATCTGATGAGATATGGGCATAGAGGAAGGTGGCATGTGACCGCGAGGAGGCATTTGCATTGGATGGGGAAGACGAGGATGAGGGTGCAATGGCATATGAGATGATGGTGGTAGCTGATGATGAGGCATATTGGGCATTGGAGGCATTTGCTGGAGATGACC